CTTAAGCTGTTAGTCGGACATCCTTAGCATTGCCATGGTGGCGGGAGAGGCTCCTGCTACCACCGCTGTGCTAGCCAGCCATCAGCTGGCTTCTGGCTGAGCGGCGCTTCCCCTGTGGAAGTGCACTGACCACCAGGGGGCAGCTTCTGAATTGAGCGTCTACCCCCTGGTGGTCAGTGCATGTCGTAGTGACTGGTTGATCAGTAGACTGTCTGCCCCCTGGTGGACAGTGTACATCATAGCAAGTGGTTGAGGGGCCTAGCATATTATGCATTGATTGGTTGAATGGTCAACCAATGACTGGATACTTAGCATATTAGGCTTTTATTATATAGGATACTTAAATTATAAGATAACTAGAGTCCAGATGCACAATATTTGTGCAGGGGGCAGGGATCCCTCAGCCTGGTCTATGTCCTCTCGAAATCTGGGACACCTCGGGAGATGTCAGACTGCCGGTTTAGATAGGTCCTAAACCTGCAGTTGGATATCTCTCTCGCAACTTGGGACCCCTCGCTCCTAACTACCCACATACTCTCTCCTAGCTGCCCTCCTGCTTGCTCCTTATTGCTTGGCTCTCCACTCCTTAGGGCTGCCACTGAGGTGGGAAAGCAGTGGTTCTCTACCTTCTGGCCTTTAAATATGGTTCCTCATGTTGTGACCCAATTATAAAATTATTTTCATTGCTACTTCATAACTGTCATGTTGCTACTGTTATGAATCTTAATGTAAATATCTGATATTCAGGATGATCTTAGGCGACCCCTTTGAAAGGGTCGTTCGGCCACCAAAGGGGCTCGCTGTTGCCGATGAGCTCGTTGACCTTCTGCACCTCCTTGTCCAGCTCGGCCAGCGCCTCCCGGTGCACGTCCGCCCGGCAGTTGGTGTGGGTGATGTCCAGCGTGGCCTGGGCGATGTCGCCGTCGATCTTGGAGAGGTGTGTCACCTGCAGGACCGACAGGAGGCGCGTCGGAACCTTCGCTTTTCCTGGGAGGCTCTGGAGGAGGGCCCCCACCTCCTAGAGGTCCCCCCTGGTCGGGAGAAAGGTCCCGATCTCCAGGAGCGCAGGAAACCGGTTCCTCTCTCTCTCCGGGACCCTGAGGGCCTCTCACAACCAAGAAAGGTTGCATTGTTTCTCCGTAGACAGGCCGTGGCCACACTGGGCGGAAATGTGTGCACACAGGTGAGGAGATGGCCCGTTTTCCTGTCTCAGGCAGGCCTGTCACCACCAGGAACCGTCCCTCTCCCAGTCCTTCCGTATAAATCCCTCCCCCCCAAACAAAAGCTGTGCCCTGACCCCCTGCCAGCCCCAGGCCCTCGCTGCCCCCACAAAGCCTCCGCCCCCTCACCTTCCCCTGGCTCCTGCCCACTCCTCCCCCAGACCCCAGCTGGCTGTCCTCCATGCACCGCTGGCCGGTCCCTTGGGTGCCTTTCTACAACCCCCTCACCTCTAGGTTTTTTTTTGTTTTTTTTTTCCCACCTCTAGGTTTTAAAGCCGGCCCTGCCCAGCTGGGGACAGACGCCCCCAGCATTCCACCTGGCCTCGCCCTGCCCTTGCGGTAACCCTCGGGCCCTCTGAGCCCGTCCCTTTCTTTGCCAAGACCTCTGAGATCGCCAGGTCACCCC